TTTTAAATAAGGGGAGATTCTAATCCCTTTTGGATACATACTCATAAACGGAATAACCGTTAGATGGCGAAAGAAATATTATTGACTTTTAGATTAAACATCGTTAAATATTTAAAAATTATATTATTATCTTTTTGAGAGATGCAAATTAAAGGAATTGTATTTAAAAGGGACTATAGAATTTTTTTTTTTTTTAATAAAACACAAATCCAATATCTTTACAATAATAAAGCCTATGTAGGTAGTCAATACCAATTTGGTGTTAATTTTATATGTTTTCAAATTTACCCTCATTTCTATCTATATCATATATAAAGCAGTAGGGAGACTTTTGGTGTAAACAAAAGGTTGTTATCTTTTGATTTCCTAAATAACCCTTTGTGTATAACTACCCATTGTCATATCCACTTTTGTCTCTCTTACCCACTATCATATCTACTTTTGTCTTTCTTACCCCTATCATATCTACTTTTACCTCTCTTTTATAAGTACTCACTGCCAAATAATAAGCTATTTGTATATTTTATTTTATGTAAATGTGAATTTTTGTATGTATTATAAAAATATAAAATCAAATTTCATAAAAAACAATTTTAAAAAATATCTTTAAAATTTTTTTTATATATTTATTTATTGTTGCAATGTACCTTAAGCATTAATTATTAATGGACTAGTTGACAGTCATCCAACATGATTTACTTGACAAAGTCAAGGGAGGTTCCATAGAAATTTAATGAGTATTGTAGTTTTAGCATAGTTCACCAAAATATGTGCAACCTTGTTTGCATCTCTAACAGAGGTATTAAAATGGTGATTTGGATGGGTCTGAACGAATTATAATTGGATTAATCCATTTATATGGGTATGAATATGCCAAATTACCCATTTATGAGTAACTTACAATTCTACTTATTTTTTTATTTTTTTGCATGTTGACAAGAAATAACGATATTTTATCATTATTATTAGATTGATAAGAAATTCATATTTATTTGCTCAAAACTCATTAAAAGTTGAGTTTAAATGTATATTATTTCTAAATGTATATAAATGGGTGACTTGAATCAACTCACTATCAACCAATTAAATGGGTTTAATTGAATACTCATTTAGATCCATTCAAAATTAATGAATAAGTTTGGATAAGTCAATATAATTGGATTATGATTGGCATCTCAAGTCTCTAAGAATCCATGATACATCAACATGATTTTGTTTTAACAAAGCCAAACATGCAGTATACTGTGTTTAGATAGGAGATTATTTGAAATAATTATTATAATAATTTTTGTTGATACGAACTCGATCCAACAAGAACCTATCTTGAAGAACTGAATCGATCAGGCAGCGGAAGAATCTATTTTGACA